ATGATGGGGCATTTTTCCTAATAGATGATGAAGAGTATGCTCTCTCGTTGTTGTCAATGGCTGAGAAAAATGTTGGGGCACACCTTAGTACCCCTAGTAATTTTCAATGTCCGATTTATCTTGTTGATCTTAGTGATGATGAAGATCTACATGTGGCCCATTTGACTCGTGCAGGTCGTCATTTTAAACCTTCATATCTTGAAGATAAGAACCCTGTGGAAGCCCTGAGAAGGAAAGAAAAAGACAGGGAATTAGTAATGGTGAATAAGGAAGAAGATGATGCTATTAAGCGCATGAAGGAGGTTAATGCAAATGTTTCTATATGAAAGTTACTGACTCATTCACAACCTAATTGGGCCGCTGTTCTGAGACATCTCAATGAAGTTTCAATTGATCCATCCATAACATCGGATCAAATGGTAGGACTTATTCATGGAGCCGACCACACTTTAATGTTTACCGACGATGATCTCCTAGAAAGTGTCAACCATAACAACTCTTTGCACATAACTGTGAAATGTCATGGGTGGACAATACCCCGGGTACTTATTGACAATGTTTCTGCCATCAACGTATGTCCTTATCGAGTTATGACGAAGCTCGGTTATCAAAGAGAAGATTTGACACCTTCAAGATAGATTGTTAGGGCTTATGAGAATGCCAAAAGGGACGTTTTGGGGTCAATTGAGTTACTTTTGGAATATGGACCAGTGGTTAGAAATGTTGAATTTGTGGTAATTGATATTGAAGCGTGCTTTAACCTTTTGCTTGGTAGACCTTGGCTTCATGAGAACAGGGCGGTAGCCTCTACCTTACACCAAAAGGTGAAGCTGCTCACAGATCATGGTACAGTGACACTTGTGGGTAATCTAGAAGTTATGAATGGTTCTAGTGTTGAAAAATCAGTGCTCCATTTAGATGAAGAAGAGGGTAGTCGATTAGACGGATTCACTATTCATAATATTGGATTTGATTCAAGTAGCTCATGGAAAGAAGAAGAAGAAACGGAGGAAGATCCGGAAGAGGACTTAGAGGAAGACGAAGAAACTGAGGAAGATCCGAAAGAAGAAACTGAGGAAGATCCAGAAGAAGAGCTTCAAGAAAATGACAATGATTCTGAGGTTAATCCCCAAGGAGCTAGAGGTGGAACAAACTGGTCCAATGAAGATGGGGTAGAAGAGGAGCCTAAAACTCTAAAAGACAGCGATCCTTGTTTTAGAGGAGAATCGTGGACAAGTAATTCCTTTAAACATGATGAGGGATCTCGGAAGAGGTCTAGGGCCGAGGATTTTGATTTGAATTTTGATGTCCTGTGTTATAGAAGGTTGGTATACCCGGAGGAGTTGATTCTTTTCCTTAACTACAGGCATGTAGATCGTTATCTCAATCTTCCTCAGTTTGAGAAGTTCAATGGGTTGGGAGATCCTATTCTCCATTTATACAACTTTGTGAACACCTTATACCCTTTAAATGTTCCAGAAGAACATTTTCCTATGTTGTTTAATAGAAGTATGGGTGGACCCGCGTTATCCTGGTATTATACCTCAGGGGTAACAAGTAAAGGCTCTAGGGGAGAAATAGCTCAAGCATTTAGTGACTGGGCATTTGAATTTCGACAGACTGACACCGAAAAACTGAAGCTAGTGAATATGGAGCAAAGTGACCGGGAATCATTTTCACATCTCTTTTCAAGATGTTCTTACATTCGGGCTCAACTTCGTTTTCCCATAACTGATCGGGAGTTTATGTTGATATTTCTAAGAAAGTTAAATGATTTTTATTATTGACATATGGTCTCCATCAAATACGCCGATCTCTCGCACATGGAGAGACATGGTTACGAAATTGATGCCTATCGACTACAGGAAAGAAGGCCTAAGGTGCACCCTCAAGGTGAAAGAGCTAACAGGAGGATATTCACTCGAATCGACGAACCATTGAGTGTGGTGTATGATCGTTTGAGCAAAAAGGGTATTCTTCGGGCAAAAATCTATGTGTATTCATTACCACCACATGGGACCGATATGAGACAATATTGCAGTTATTGTCATCTATATGGGCATAGAAAAGATACTTGTTACGACCTTAAATGTGCAATCCAGGATCTTATTGATCGTGGGATCATCACTCCGGCCCATCCTAAGTATAGCGCACCAAAGACAAGCCCGGCACAGCCACAGGCCTCTCAAGCTGATTTGTTCCTTCAACTACTCGAAGAAGGTCGTATCAAGCCACTACATCGTCGAGCAGGAGCTGATCCTGTTGGACCAAATCTCAACAAATATTGTCACTATCATCAGTTACATGGCCATGATACTAATGAATGTCACGCCCTCCGTTGGTGTATAAAGCGCACAACTGGAATTTCCTGCCTGAATAAGAAAGTGTCCATAAATGCCCTTTCCCTTTGGACACACGAAGAAGATCCCACTCATTTGATTGCTCGTCACTACTCGGACTACGAGAAAGACTGTTGAAAACCATGAAGCCTAAGAAATCTCTACATGGGAAAGGAAGCATCTACAATAACATGGTGACCTCTATCTTACCCTCCATCAAGAAGGATGAATGAAAGGGGTAGTATGAGCACTGTAAACAAAGAATTTTTTTCTTTCTCCTTATATTTTCTTTTAGTACAAAGAACTACGTACAGCTTGATCCCCCAAAGCCCTATTTCATGATCATACACAAAAATTGTACTTGCACGCACATTGTTATTGGGGTACGTAGGCAACTCTGATCGAGTGCAACTGTTTTAAAAAAATCTCCTTCTTCCGTTTTGAACTACAACGGGTCTGATTCTCCAAAAAAAAAAGAAGAAAAAATGTGAAAATACAAAAAATCTATCTGGAGATACGTAGGCAGCCTTATGGCGCGACCCAAAATAATTAAAAGAGTTTTTTTTTTTTGGGAATGAACACCCCACTAACTTATCTAACTTAAAAAACGTCTTTTAAATGTTTACTAAAATCTTTTTTCCGCATGCATTTTTGCATTTATCGTTTACTTTTTTTTTTAATTATTTTCAAAAAAAAGGAGTAAATCCTAATCTTTGGCATGTAATGTTTAGGTATCCTTTGCCAACCAATGACCAACCAAACTCGAAAATCTACTCTACCCCCGAATTCCATTCAAGAAATCCAAGATCCAATACCACAAACACTTACCAGAGGACTTCAATTGGAGCTGGCTTAGGATGGAACGGTGAAGGCATGAGGCACACAATCCCAATAATTGATAAGCGAAATCGTCAGGGTTTGGGTTTCGACGAGAAAATGGGTTCTAAATTTATGAAAAAGAAATCTCTCACATTGAATGGGCAATTTGTGTTGCAAAACAACACCGAGCCGTTTTATGAGTTTCCTGAACCTTGGTGTGACTTGGATAAAGAGAAAATTCACCCTGGGTTAGAGATTTTCTTTGCAGAAGCAAGGAATGAAGAATTTATTAAGAAATGGTTTGATAAGAAACCGGTATTTAAGAAAGATGTTGATTGGGCTGACTATCTAAAGCAAGGAGTTCTAAAAGGCTTGTTTTCATCAATTTCTGATTATGAAGCTAGATTCGATCCTATTACACTTATCACTCGAATAAGAACAGAAGTTGAAAACGATATCCGGCCAGAAACTCAAGAACAATTCCTTCTTTTCTCCGAACTATATCCCTTTCGATCCTCTACCTCAGACGGTTATGAAACCGATAGCTCATCATCTAGTCAATCATCTATTCATACACTTCCTGATATCTCATATCATGAAGATATCAATGAAGTTAATTGTAAACATATTTGTGTACAAGAAATTGATCTTGATCATGATGCATTTTCTAATAATGAATTTTTCAAGGAACCTAAATCATGCGTGACACCCATGGAAGAGTCTATAACTGTAAACATAGGTACTAATAATGATGTAAAAGAAGTCAAGATATGACCTTCCCTTTCCCTCGATGAACAAAATGAATTCATTATTTTACTTAAAGAATATGTTGATGTGTTTGCATGGTCTTATGCTGATATGCCTGGTGTCGATCGTAATATTTCTAAACATCGTATACCACTCTACCCTGATAGCAAGGCAAAGCAACAAAAGCTTCGTAGAATGAAACCAGAAGTTAGACTCAAAGTTAAAGGAGAAATTCAAAAGCAGCTTGATGCCAACTTCATCAAACTAATCAAGCATTCGGAATGGCTAGCGAATGTGGTGGTAGTGCCCAAAAAAGATGGAAGGGTCAGAGTATGCATTGATTTTAGGGATTTGAATTCAGCATCGTTGAAAGACTATTTTCCATTGCCCCACATTGATGTTTTGGTTGATAATACTGCTGGACATGCCTTGTTCTCATTCATGGACGGATTCTTGGCATATAATCAGATACTTATGTCAGAAGAGGACATGTCCAAAACTTCTTTTATTACCCCATGGGGAACCTTTTGTTATAGAGCAATGCCTTTCGGATTAAAGAATGCTGGGGAAACCTATCAACGGGTTGCAACGACGATTTTGCATGACCTCATCCACGATATTGTGGAAGTTTATGTTGATGACATGATTTTCAAAAGTCATGAACGTGAGACGCACCTTGATGCTTTAAAATCATTCTTCAATAGAATTAGGAAATACAATCTGAGATTGAATCCTCAGAAATGTGTATTTGGAGTAACTTCGGGAAAACTTCTAGGCTTCGTCGTAAGTCAAGAAGGAATTAAGGTCGATTCTGACAAGGTAAAGGCCATACAAGAGCTTCCTCCGCCAAGGACAGAAAAGGAGATTCGGGGATTTCTTGGTAGAATTCAATATATTAGTAGGTTCATATCGCAATTGACAACCTAGTGTGAACCTATATTCAAGTTACTTAAGAAAAATGTTCCTACAAAATGGAATGACGAATGTCAAGCCTCACTTGATTCAATGAAAGAATACCTCTCCAATCCTCCAATTTTAATGCCGCCAAAACCAGGGCAGCCCTTGATATTATATCTAACTATCACGGAAACGACCATGGGAGCTCTTTTGGCACAGTATCAAGAGGGTACAAGGAAGGAAATAGCTATCTACTACCTCAGTAAAAAGTTCCTTGACTATGAAACTAGATACACTCCTTTGGAAAGAGCTTGCATTGCCCTTATTTACGCAACAAAGAAGCTTCGACATTATTTGCAAGCACATACTACTTATCTGGTTTCGAAGTTAGATCCAATCAAGTACATTTTTGAGAAGCCAATCTTGACTGAAAGAATAGGATGGCATGCGATATTGTTAGAATTTGACATTCAGTGTGTGAATCAAAAGTCTGTCAAAGGGAGGGCTATATCTGAAGCTTTGGCTGATGAACCTATATCGGGTGGTGAATTTGATGATGATTTTCCAGATGAACATATTTTCTGTCTTAGTACATCACAATGGAAGATGTATTTTGATGGAGCCTTTAACAGGAGGGGCAATGGTGCAGGAGTATTATTGATCGATCCTTATAGAGTACATATTCCCTTCGCTATGAAGCTTAGTTTCCCAACGACAAATAACACGGCTGAATATGAAGCCTACATCTATGGTATCAAAGTAGCATTAGCAGCTGGTGCAAAAAATCTCACGGTGTACGGTGATTCTTATCTCATAATTTCCCAGACTATTGGAGCTTGGAAAGTTCGGGACGAAAGGTTGCAAATGTACACGGAATATCTTCAACAATTTATCCCATTCTTTGAAGAAATAGAGTTCAAACATCTCTGTAATCCCCCGTATTTTTAAATATTTTATAAATGAAAATTTATTTTATTTATAATATTTATTTTTTATTTTTCATAATTTAATTTCAAAAGTTTCAAATTATTAATATTGGTCAAAAATTATTTTAGCACAAACTATTTTATGAACCTATGTTCTACAATTCATGATCATACAAACAAAGCCTAGTCCATTTCATTTATCTAATTGGCCCAATAATTTTATGAGGCCCAATCTTCTTACTTACCCTACAACATTCTCTCCTATAAATACCCCATCAATCCCCAAAAATTTCCCACACAAAAAGGTTAGTCTTATTTTCTCTCTCCTTTGATTTACTAATTTGTATAATTATAATTATTGATTTATGGATTTTGATTTTATTGTTTGAAAGTAATTTAATTAGTATCAATTGTATTTTGATGACTAAACTTTATAATTTCAGATTTTATAAGTATCATAATTTTCAGATTTTGTAAATTTTATAACCTAGGGTTTTTAATTATTGAAAATCATGATTTTAGGGTTTTTATGAACAATTGATTTAGGGCTTTTATAGTAATGATGTTTTGAAATTTTGGTGATTATAACTACTGATTAGTTTAACTTAATTCCAGACTATTTTGAACACATAGATTCGTGTTTTAATTTTTAGATTTTCGTTCGTTAATATTAATCCCGTTTTAATCCCGATCAGATTCTGAACTCATCCGATATTGATGAAAAAGTAGTGTTTTCCATGTGGAAACAACGTTTTAAGAAAGACTCACTACCTTTGGTAATGAACACCACCTCTCGTGGCCAAATTCAGCTTCTAAATATGATTTTCGGGCAGTTTTTGATTTTAACGAAGTTTTTTTTATACTTAAAATATTATCCTTGAGTTTGATTAATAAAATTAATTATGTTTAAAGTTAATTAAGCATAAATATATGTTTTTATTGAAGTTTTAAGTGTTGGAAATAGTTTCTAAGTACTACTTTTGATGTTTTACAAAAAGGGTTTAATCACCCATTAAAAAGGGAGATTTTTAGGGGTTTTTATATAATTTTCAGATTTTTATTAGACTTTGAACTTGCTGTAATTTCATGTATAAGAGTGTATTTTAAGGTTTTTATGAAGAAAATTTAAAGAACTATATATAAACCTTTAATTTTAACTAAAGGGAAGGTTTTAAAGTGTTGTTTGATTTGGATTTTGAAGGTTTTAAAGTAAGTTAGTATTGCTGTAAATTTGATTGATCGGGTATTGATTGAGATGTTATTATTTGGCTTAGGAGAGGAGTTTATTGAAGGTGATTTATAGTTAGTAAAGTGGCATACCAATTCGTTTTCTCAAGGTACGTACAAGTTACGAAACCTTTCTTTTAGGTGCATGTTTAAGGACGACGGATCGAGAACTTAGTATCATGTATAGGGATGACTGAGTTAAATTGTTTGGTTATACATTGTGAATTTCGTATGACGTGCACTATTTTATATTGCAAGTATTATTTGTGCTCTAATTATGCAAGGTGCGCTTAGAGGCAAAGGTATATGATTGGTGTAATGATTAATTTATTACTCATTCATGATTATGCAAGCAGGATGAGTAAAGGAAGAATTTAAGTCTTCTAAGACGAGGTTAAGGTTTTGGGGTGCCTTATGCACTCAAGGTGTTTATACACCGAGGTAGTAAAGGAATAAATAATAAATGTAGCTTGCCACTAATAAATCAAGAATTGAAATTGAAAAGTTGTTTTACTTGATTGAATTGATATTGGATTGATTGTATTGTTATGCATATGAGTCATCACCAAGTCTAAACCTGTAAATCACGTAAAGTGCAAGATGGAAGAGCAATAAAACTCTGGATTGGTGCACTTCTGGAGTAATGACAATCAGGGGTTGGGGTACATGGGGTATTAGCCGTGTACTTTTCTCGAGGCCGTATGATCTACGAGTCTCTTATTTCAAATATTTTTCAAAACTAGGAGTTAGGTGAGATCTCATACTAACTACGGTCACAGAGTCGCGCCCGTGGTCGTTGGATGTTTATTGATGTTTCCAAAAGGAGGCATGGGGTTTTTCTTTTATTGATGTTCCAAATGGAGCATGGTAATCTAATGAATAAAAATAATGATTTACCTTTTATTAATTAATGGAGTCTTAGTAATATAAATAGTTGAGTCGTGTGTTGAGTCTATAATTTAATGATGCATGATGATTGATTATTAGTAGCATGTTATGGATTTCTTAATTTATTTTGCAGCTTGTATGTACTCAGCTTTGCTGATTGCGTGCTTTGTGTGTCTTTCTTTGGTCATGGCCTTCGCCTTTCAATGACCATGTGACGATCCAATTTTTACACTTGTAATATTGGGGAGCAGAATTACCACAGGTTCTTACACATGCAGCATTCATCAGGGTTGTGGGATCTTGAGTAGAGAGTTGGTTGTTTGCATTTTATTTCTTTTGCAAGTTTGAATTTATTTTAATTCGATTTTATTCGACACTATTTCTTTTGGGTTTGAATTTATTTGAACACTGAATTTAATCACTTACTACTTTTATTGGGGTTTTGAATAAGGGCCTTAATGGTTCCAAGTTGTATGACTTAATTTGGTTTCATTCGTTGGTTTTGAAACTTATTTATAGCTGATTTAGTTTTTCCGCTGCTATTTTCTGATAAAGTCTTAACGTTTGAACACGTGGCGGTAGCACGCCAGTAATTCTCTTGAATATTGTTCAGGGTCCTCACAGGTTTAAAGAGAGAATTATTGGGGTGTTACAATCTCCCTCGCAAACAAAACAGTTTCACCGATGCTTTGGCAAATCTGGCGGTAAATTTAACTTGGGACGATGATGTGTAGGTACAGTCAGTAACAATTGTAGAAAAAGAAATTCCAGTGGTTAATTTTGAACCAACAATTTCTGTATTAACCCAAGAAGATGATGAGGATGCTTGGTATACTGATGTTAAGAACTATTTAATTGATGGAGAATATCCTGAAGGAAGTCACAAGAAGGATCAATTGGCTTTTCGAAGGCTAGCTTCTCATTTCACAATATTGAAAGGTTTGTTGTATCATAAAAGTTTCGATGGAAATTTGCAATTATGCATCGATGGGGAGCAGACACAAAGGATCATGGAAGAGGTACATGGGGGAGAATGTGGGCCTCATATGAATGGACGAATGCTTGCTCGGAAGATTTTGCGAGCAGGGTATTATTGGACCATCTTGGAAAGTGATTGCATCCATTTCGTACGAACATGCAAGAAATGTCAGCTATTTGCAAACCTTAATCATATGCCGCCAGTTAGCCTGAATAATTTTACTTTGCCATGGCCTTTTTCCAGCTGGGGCATAGATATCATTGGGAAAATACATCCGAAAGCTTCGAACGGGCATCAATATATATTGGTTGTTGTTGATTATTTTTCGAAATGGGTGGAGGCATCATCATATTCGAAACTAGGAGCAAAACAAGTTTCAAAATTTGTAATCAATAACATTATATGTCGGTATGGGGTACCTTTTGAAATTATTTCAGACAATGGTTCACAATTTGAAGGCCATCTCAAAGAAACCCTTGAGAAGTACAAAATTAGACATCATCAATCATCACCATATCGTCCTCAAACCAATGGAGCTTTTAAAGCAGCTAACAAAACCATCAAGACGATAATCGCCAAGATGACAGATAGGGCTCGAGAATGGCCTGATAAGCTTCCCTATGCACTTTGGGGATACAGAATTTCCATTCGAACACCAACTGGGACTACTCCATATTCTTTGGTATATGGAATGGATCCACTTCTTCCAATCGAAACGGAGATTCAATCGCTTTGCGTAATGAATGAGAGCGAGATATCGGAAGAAAAATGGTTTAAAGAAACATACGATGAACTTTCTTTGGCAAGTGAACGAAGGTTACAAGTCCTTCACAACATGCAAATTTATCAAAGACGCATTCCTCGGTCTTTTATAAAAAGGTCAGGGAAAGGAATATCCAAGAAGGAGATTTGGTGCTTAAAGAAAATCAAGCACCGATTCATGATCCACGTGGAAAGTTCAAGCCAAACTGGTCTGGTCTTTTCCTGGTCAAACATCTTACACCAGCAGAAGCAGTTAAATTGATGGATCTTGATGAAAATGAATTTGTTCATTTCACCAACCTTGATCACTTAAAAAAGTATTATGCTTAATTGGTACAGTGTTGTATTTGTGGAATTCGCAAAAAAAAAAAAAAAAAAAAAAAAAAGAAAACATGAATCTCCTACTAGCTTTAGATAGTTATGTGTATCATGTTAAAGTTTAGATTTCATTCATGTTTGCATTGCATGCTTAATGGACATGTAGAAATATTCATTATTATTAAAAGATCATGATCAAGTCAATACTTAACAAAATATGATTACAACGAACAAACTTTTTTTTATTAACACAAACTCTCTTGCTTTTTAGTGAGATTACATCCACTTTTAACTATGAAAACAACGACCACATACACCATACCCTAAAGACCAATGCCTTCAGATACGATTTCTTCTTTTGGGAATTGAAAATACATGAACAAGGGAAACACAAGTACAAATTCTGAAGTACAAATAATGAAATCCCTTTAAGGATTTATTCAAGCATCGTCCTCGAGGTCCTCCAACAACCATGTTGTATAGGACGCGGTTGGAACATAATCTTCGAGGACTGAAAGTGCTAGAAGCATTCGTGCAAATTGCCATACACGAGATGACGCCCTAAGAGCTTCCACACTACCAATTTCATAAGTGGTACAAGGTACCACTGGGAGCTCATGGAGCTCTAGGAGTCGTTGGAGTTAGCCCGCTTGTCTCAAGCATCTCCAAGGAAGATAGAATGTGACGCGACACAATCCTAGAAGTTGAACACCTATGCGCCTGCTAGTGCTAATTGTTATGGAATTTATGTTGAGAAATGAAATGATCCGTTCCACATCAGTTGCGGCAAAGAAGTCTATCCATCCACCATGGTTGCAACATTGACGAAATATAGGAAAAAAGCCTCTCTCCCGGATATGTCGGGTTTGGTAAGGAGTTCGAAAAGGTGGTCTAGGCAGTTTGAATTTCTTGCATAACCAAAGTTAAAGCACAATTGGACACCCTTTAACAAAACCACCTGGATTTTGGTTCAGATGGTCAAGCCCCATCATAAGTTCCCCTAGGATAAGAGGCCCTAAACGGTTCCCTGACTCAATCTGTGACAACAAAGAAAGGCAACTAACATGACAGGAAAATAATGATTCCTTGAGTAAAACAACGCTGAGCAATAAAAGGATGCAAGCTCTTTCTTGGCCTTTTTGAAATCCTCATTGTTGGCAAATTCCCTAAGAGATAAAGAGAAGGGTTCAAGGAAGTTCTCTAAAATTAAAATGTCAAGCAGGCGATAATTGCTTTCCATATATTTAATGGTATACCTAGCAAATCCCTCATAACCGCATTAGTTGCCCTTGGGTCAGCAGGTGTAATCACACGGCCGTCTTTATAAAGACCAAGTAAACCCTCCATTTCTTCTAGAAGAGGAGTCATTTCTGTCTCTCCAAAGCGAAAAACATGGCGTTCTTCATCCCAAAATTCAACAGCAGCATGAATCATATCATACCGAGGTTGAATAACTAGGAGAGGGGTGATGGTTCTGGTGAAGACACTTGTATAAGGGGAAAGGCGAGGTGGAGAAATATTTTCTACCACCCCTTTTAGCTGGAGCTTTCTAGCTCCACTGATTTCATTGAATTCTTGAAACATGGCATTCATTTTTTCTTAGAAATTTGAGGAGAGAATAAATAAGACTTAAGAAGCTTGAAAGAAGAAGAAGGGAGTTGATTGGTGTAGAAAAGAATGAATGCCACCTTTTTTTATAGGGGTGGTGGTGGTAACGGAGCCAGGGATAAAAGGCCGAAGGAGTTTACTTTTCCGAAAACTCATTACAAACCACCTGCTGTTTCTGCATCCGAAATCCATAAACTGTGGTTTTTTTTTCAAGAATGATTGTTATTTTTCTTCAAGCTCGTGCAAATTGGAGTTTTAACCTTCTGCAAGGTTAAGCCAGTTTTTCAACTGCACCCAAGCCAATATTTGTGTTGCAACTGAGTGAGAATTTCACTCTATTTTTTTTAGCAAGTTTTTCAACTGTACCCAAGCCAACATTTGTGTTGCAACTGAGTGAGGATTTCACTCTGTTTTTTTAGCCAGTTTTTCAACTGCACCCAAGCAAACATTTGTGTAGCAACTGAGTGGGGATTTCACTCTATTTTTCAGCTAGTTTTTCAACTGCACTCAAGCCAACATTTGTGTTGCAATCGAGTGGGAATTTCACTCTATTTTTCAGCCAGTTTTTCAACTGCACTCAAGCCAATGTTTAAATGAAAATCAATTGGGGTTTTCCCTTTTTTTTTAGAAACATACATCAAAATTTTGTGTCTTTTCTCAAACATTGATTATCGTTTTATTTAAACTCAACCAATGTGGGGCAATTTGTAGACACCAAATTTTGATCCTTCCTTTTTAATTATCACTATTAATTATCTTTTATTACTATAATTACTGTTTTTTTTTTTGCAAATAATAATTATTATTTTGCTAATTATTTTTATAAACTTAATGACGCTTGTTTTATTATTTAAAACGAAAGAAACGAGTAATAATAATGATTTTTATTCGTAATTTCCAAAATACATGTTACAATTTGTACTTCTAAATTACTAAATTACAAATTATTGAAGTACAGCTAACACCACATGCATTTTTACCCTGCTCCACCGAAGTAATTTTTGGGTTTTTTACTTGTGGATTAACAAGTAAATTAATACAGCCATTAGGAGGACCACTAGCCCCACAATGTACATGAAATACACCCTTATTATCCTCATGTCTTCCTCAAATGTAAAGACAGGCTGATCTTCTTGGTTTTCTTGAAACATGGTGGTTGAGTTTAATAGTGGTTTTTGTTTAATTTTTTCGGGTAAGGAGGAAGATGGAAGAAGATGAGAATTAAGTGGTGAGTGGAGATTTTGGATAAGGGTAATTTCTTTTTATAGTAAAAAGTAAGTATTTTAGACCGTATTTTTGTACGTATATGTATAATAATCGTATAGTATAAAGAACAATATTTTTTGTCTCGCCAAGGGAATATGTCATTTTCCTTATAAACAAGTATCGTTTAACCCTTTAGAGTATAGTAAGGGCCTGTTCTGATTGACTGAACTCAGCTGAACTGAACTGAACTGAACTAAACTGAACTGAGCTGAACTGAACTGAACTGAACTGAACTAAACTAAACTGAACTTATTAGATAGTGATTTTTAACTACGGATTAGTGATCTTTGATTATTTATTGATTATTATTTACTATACATATGTGTATATATAAATGTACATATTAAAATATTTACGAAAAATGTACTATATAATTATAAATTTATGGAAAATATATTATAAACTTGAAACCTCTAAACATTTTAAACACATATACTATTTAATTTTAAAAAAAATAGTATTATGACAAAAGAACACAAAACACTTAAATGTATCTAACCCATTTAAACAAATTTAAAAAAATATATTTAAAAAAAAAAGAAAAAGAAAAAAAACACGAAAATCTAACAGAGGCAACGGCCCAACAGTCCAGCACCCTAACCCATTTTCTTTAATGTTTTAATTAATACATGTATCTAACTAGTATCTAACCCCAAATTATTATTATTATTATTATTATTATTGTTATTATTGTTATTGTTATTGTTATTATTATTATTATTATTATTTATTGATGATTATTATTATTATTATTTATTACTTATTGATTATTATTATTATTTTTTTATTATTATTGTTATTATTATTGTTAATATTATTATTATTATTATTATTATTTATATTATTATTATTATTATTATTATTATTATTATTATTATTATTATTATTATTATTATTAGTATTATTATTATTATCATTATCATTATCATTATTATTGTTGTTGTTGTTGTTGTTGTTGTTGTTGTTGTTGTTGTTGTTGTTGTTTTTGTTGTTATTGTTGTTGTTGTTGTTGTTGTTGTAATAAGAGCTTAAAAGAATGAAATTTGGCTTTATATCATTAGCAATATCATTAGCAATATCATTAGACATAAATTAAGAGCTGAACTGAACTGAACTGAATTTCAACGGAAGAGAACAGGCCCTAAGTATATTAATATGTTCACTTAGACTGTTAGAGTGCTTTTTTTATTTTATCTATTTTTTTTTTTTTTTGTGATTTGTGCACTCCCCTATTATATGACTAGTTTACCTATAAAGTCCATTACTCTAAAAGACGCATGCCCAACCAATATAGGGAAATGACAAACATTCCCACACCTAAATGGGTACTATATGTTGTAGTGCTAAAGGGACCTCCTTTTATGTACGTTTGTTATAATGTCCTTGTCTTTTTGTTTTGTAGTTAATACTTGATCCAATAGATATAAGTTCGGACCAAACCCATCGATATTTATCTAAGAATAATTGAGTATTGTATGGATGAGAGTAAAAGAGGGATACGTATGAGTGTAAATGTATAGTTGTACGTATAATTATTGTATGAATAGTAAAATCACCTAAAAAATAGGATCATGTCTTTGCTATTATGAAAATTTATCACTTTCTGACATTCATGTTACTTCCTTTTCTTTTCTTTTTTCTTTCACTTTTTTTTTGTTTTGTTCTTTATTATTTTTTTTCTCCGATTTGTTTACTCAGTCTAGTTTGTGTATTCCTTCTTCAATTTTGATAAGCAATTGTCAATAGTGAATTAACGTTACCTTTTTTTATTCCCCGCGGTTAATATTGTATCCAATAAATTTCAATTTGGACTAATTGTATCAATATTTATCCGACGCTAATTAAGACAGCTGGATTTCATACGCGTCATATATTGTATTTCACTATTCAAAACACTATGCAAACACTATTTGGCACTATTCGAAATAGTAATTTCTGTTATGATAATTCACTTTGCCGACGTGAATTTGGCTTCCGTTTTATTTGTTTTTCTGTTGTTTTGATCTAGTTTGTATCTTTTGTCTTTGTTTTTTACAACTATGATAAATATAAATTTGTGTTTTAGTAGAG